CTTATTTTCCTTCTTCTGCTTACTCTTTGCCCAATTTTCTTTTTTGAGATTGTGAAGGAGGAAGCTGAGGTCATTGATTTGTGACCTTTTTTCTCTTCTAATATAGGCACTTAATCCTATATATTTCCCTCTGAGTAATGCATTAGCTGCATTACACAATTTTTGATATGTTGTGTTTTCTTTTTCATTAAAAGAATTTCAAAATATTGTCTAATTTCTTTCTAAAAATTTTTCTTTGATGTATGGGTTATTTCATTTTCAATATTTGAGGACTTTCCATGTATCTTTTTGTTATTGATTTCAAATTTAATTCTCTAGTGATCAGAGAACATACGTTATATAATATAGATCCTTTTAACTTAATTGACACTTGTTTTTTGGCCCAGAATAGGATCTATTTTGGTAAATGTTCCATGTGAATTTGAAAAGAATGTGTATTTTGCTGTTGTATGGGATGTTCCATAAATGTCAGTTAGTTCAAGTTGATTGATAATGTTCTTCAAGTCTTCTATATCCTTATTGGGTTTTGATTTTTTTTTTTTTTTGGTTTATTTGTTTTATCAGTTATTAAGAGGGGATGTCAAAATCTCCAAATACAGTTCTGAATTTGTATATATTTTTGCAGTTCTGTAAGTTTTTATCTAATGTAAAGCTCTATTATAGGGTACATAAAACATTTAAGATTGCTATGTCCTCTTTATGAATTGAAACTTTCATCATTATGAAATGACATTCTTTATTCCTAGTAATATTTTCTGCTCTGAAATCTACTGTGTCTAATATTAATAGCCACTCCAGCTTTCTTTTTTTGAGACAGGATCTCATTCTGTCACCCAAGCTAGAGTGCAATGGCATCGTCATAACTCACTGCAACCTCAAACTCCTGGGTGAAGTGATTTTTCTGCTTCAGCGTACTGGGTAGCTGGGACTACAGGCACACGTCATCATACCTGGCTAATTTTTTAATCTTTTGTAAAGATGGGGTCTCGCTTTTGCTCAGGCTCGTCTCAAACTTCTGGCCTCAAGCAACCTTCCCTCCTCGGCCATCTAAAGTGCCAAGATTATAGGTGTGAGCCACTGTGCCCGGCCCTATTTTTGTTTTTTTTTTTGTTTGTTTGTTTTTTGTTTTTTTCTTGATAATAACTTTTTTGTTTTTTTAATTCAGGATATTATGAGAGTACAAACATTTTGGTTACATGTAATGCATTTGCCTTGCCCAAGCCAGGGCTGACCTTCCCCCGTACAGTGGGCTCCACTTCCATTAGCTGTGAGTTTACCCCCGCACCCCGCCACCTGACCACCACCCAGTGAGTATCATTACTACCATGTGAACACCTTAGTGTTGATCAGTTAGTACCAATTTGATGGCGAGTGCATGTGGTGCATGTTTTTCTGTCCTTGTGATACCTCACTTTGGAGGATGGGCTCAATCTTTATCCAGGATAATATAAGAGGTGGTAGTTCACCATTGTTTTTGTCTTTTGTCTTTATACTTCAAGTGGGTTTCTTGTAGGCAACATATATTTGAGTCTTATTTTTTTTGTAAAATATCAGAGAATGTCTTACTTTTAATTGAAGTGTTTATTCCATTTACATTTAATGAAATTATTGGTATATTGTCTTTTAAATCTGCCATCTGGGCATTTTTTTTTCCCATTTGTTTCATCTATTTACTCCCTTTTTTCTTTTTTTCTGCATTCTTTTGGATTGAATATTTTTTTTTTTTTTTTTTTTGAGACAGAGTCTTATTCTCTTGCCTGGGCTAGAGTGCGGTGGTGTCAGCCTAGCTCACAGCAACCTCAAACTCCTGGGCTCAAGCGATCCTCCTGCCTCAGCCTCCCGAGTAGCTGGGACTACAGGCATGAGCCACCATGCCCGGCTAATTTTTTCTATATATTTTTAGTTGTCCAATTAATTTCTTTCTATTTTTAGTAGAGACGGGGTCTCGCTCTTGCTCAGGCTGGTTTCGAACTCCTGAGCTCAAACAATCCGCCCACCTCGGCCTCCCAAAGAGCTAGGATTACAGGCGTGAGCCACCGCGCCCGGCCTGGCTGAGAGTTTTTCAAATCTTTTCATGCTGCTTCCCTTTTAATTATAAATTTCATCTTTAAATTATTTCCCTCTTCTCTCATTTTACTGTAAGTGGCCAGAAGAAGCCATGCAGCATCCTGTATGCTTTGCTGCCGGATATCCTAGTTCATTGCACTTAAGTTCTGCCCTCCACAAATTCCCAAGACGTGGACATAATTCTGCCTTGCATAACAAGGATAGCCTTTACTCTAGTTTCCAGTATTTTATTTCTCAGTTCCGTCTGAGACCTCATCAGAATAACCCTTACCTTCCATATTTCTACCAACATTCTGATCATGATCACTTAAGTAATCTCTAAGAAGCTGTAGACTTTCCCTATATTTCTTCTCTTTTTTCTGAGCCCTCACTAGAATTGTCCTAAAGACTGTGTTCATAGCAATCTAGATTTCTTCTAGCCTGCTCCTCCAAATTCTTCCAGCCTCTACCCATTACCTAGTTCCAAAGCCACTTCCACACTTTCAGGTATTTGTTATAGCAACAACCCGAGTCTCAGTACCAATTTTCTGTCTTTGTTTTGTGCTGCTATAACAGAATATCTGAGATTGGAAAATTTATAAAGAAAAGAAGTTTATTACAGTTCTGGAGGCTGAGAAGTCCAATGTTGAGGGGCTTGGATCTGGTAAGGGACTTTTGGCTGCATCATAACGTGGTGGAAGGGCAAGAGAGTATGTGTGTGCATGAGAGAGGAAGGGAACCAAACTCACTCTTTAGCCGAGAACCCACTCCCATGATAACAGCATTAATTAATTCATTAGGGCAGAGCCCTCATGACCTGATCACCTCTTAAAAGTCCCACTTCTCAACATTGTTGCACTGGGGATTAAGTTTCTGAAACATGAACTTTGGGGGATATATTTCAACCATAGCACACATATTATCTCACTTAATTCTCAAAACAAACCTGATGTTATGCTGGTATATGTTATCGGCATTTAAAAGATAAGAACAACTAGAGTTCAGAGAAGGTAACTTGCAGGAAGGTTACATGGTTAGTGGTTGAACTATGCTTTTAAACTAAGCATCTTTTAAGTATCATGAAGAAAAGTAGAGATCAAAAAGATGAGAAGAAAATTGGGATAGACAATATCCAAAAGCCAGAGAAGTAGAGTTTCAAGAAGGAGTCAATTTAGCATTGCTATAACAGAATACTAAAGGCTGGGTAATTTATGAAGAAAAGAGGTTTATTTGGCTCTGGTAGCTGGAAAGCCCAAGATCATGGTACTGGTATCTGCTTGGCTTCTGGTGAGGGCTTTCATGCTGTGTCATAACATGGCAGAAGGTCAAAGGGGAAGTGGGCATGTGTGAGGGGGCAAAACAAGGGGCATCCTTGCTTTCCAACAACCCATTCTAGTCCATTCCTGTAGGAACTAATCCCATTTCGTGAAAGCGAGAACTCACTCACCACTGCAAGAATGGCACCAAGCTATCCATGAGAGTGGAGCCTCGTTACCCAGACACCTCCCATTAGGCCCTACCTCTTAAAGGCTCTATCTCCCAACATTATTGTACTGGGAATTAAGGTTCCAGCATGAGTTTTGGCAGGGATACTCAACCATAGCAGAAAGGATGGTCAACAGTGTCAAATTTTGAGGAGAGATTGTGAGTAATCAAAATTCAGAAAAGAACATTAGAATTTATTTTTTTATTCCTTTTATATATAAGATAGATAAAGGAGACAATTAAAACAAGTAATATTTTCAGGCAGAACTGTTTTATTGTTCAAGCATAATATTTTACATAGTCTACTTTTTCAACTGTACCATAAAGTTTAAATGCCCACATTTTTTTGTTTCTTTCAGTTATATCAAGATTTCTTGATACAGAACAACTTCTTTCTGTTTTAGTACAAATTCCAAAGCAAGACACGGTATGTTTATATATATATATATATATATATTATATGTTGTATTATGATACATTATGTGATAGAACTTGTAATGTAACAATTGAAAAATACCAAAATGGCTTGGGTAAGTACTTCATTATTGATATCTAGAGTATTTTTGTGAGTTTTTAGGGGAAACCTTTTTCCTAATGTATTATCATATATGTTATAGTAAATAAAAAGTTTTTTAGATAGTTAAGGAATGGGCATATTTTCACTAATTAAATATTTACTGAAGGAGTTGTCTATAATTTTCAAAAACTTAGGCTGTAATAATGTTTGCCTAATAAATAAGTAAAAATTATATTGGAGCCTAAAGAGTATAGATTGTTCAAAAGTGATCATTATGTGAAGTTTGATTAGTCTTCAAATATTCTTAACCTTTAAGAATAAAGCAACATCTTCTCTGGATATTTTTCAAATTTCAATAGTGCATATAGATACATCCTGTAAGGAAAGTAATAGATAGTTTTCATTCTTCCATTTAAGGTGGACTAAACAATATTACTTTATCTAAATAGAAATATGAATATATTTTTGGCCACATGTTTAAAAAGGAAAGAAGCCTTGCACATTGGTTGATTTAAAATTTGATTACTTTTGCAAATCCATTGAAGGCTAATCTATGTTTTGGAAGTCTTTACATATTGTAGAGAAAACATTCTGGAGGTTCATTTATAGTAAAAGCATCACTAGATGGAAAAGCTTTAGTTGTTAAGCAGGCACAGAACTGAAAGATTCCTTAAATAATTGGAGTACCTTACAATTCAATATGTACAAATGGGTGGTAACCTAAGACAACTGATATCTGGAACAAAATTAGCTGGCTTCATAAAATGAGTTTGGAAGTATTCCCTCCTCTTTAATTTTCTGGTAGAGTTTATATAGAACTGGTATTATTTCTGCCTTAAATATTTAGTAGAATTCACAAATTAAGCCATTAGGACCTGGAATTTTATTTATAGGAAGGTTTTTAACTATAAACTCAACTTTTAAAATAGATATGGTGCTATTCAGGCTATCTGCTTCTTCTTGAATGAGCTTTGGTAGCTTGTGTCTTTCAAAGAATTTGTCATTCCACCCAGCCTTTCAAATTTATTGGCATAAAATGGATCATAATGGCTTCCTTATTATCCTTTTTTTATCTGTGAAATTTGCAATGAT